GCGTCAATGGAGCTTAACCAGAAGTTGACGATTGAATGCGAGATCGATAGGTTACAAACCCGACAAACATTCATAGTAATGCCAGGGTTGACGGAAGATGCCTTACTAGGAGTGGAATTCCTTAGGAACCATTCTATCGAACTTAAATTCGATAAACATACGACCAAACAATACGTACAACATCAAGAAGAGGCATGTAATACTTTAAAAGACTCCACCAAAAATACAGAGCTAGAAAGGTTTCTAAGAAAAGAACTAAGGGAGTTTGAGAACATAACAGGACCACTAACTTAATAGAACACGAAATAAAATTGAAGACAAAATGCGATCCAGTCAAACAGCCTTATAGACGACACAATCCCGCAATGCTGCAGATCATCAACCAAGAAGTAGACAAGATGTTAAAAGAAGGAACCATCGAACCCTCCACAAGTGGTTGGAGTTCACCGATTGTACTAGTTAGGAAAAAGATAACTCGTACAGGTTTTGCATTGACTTTAGAAAAGTCAACGAACTATCAGATAAGGACGCATATCCGTTACCCAGATATCGGAAATTCTGGATAGACTTAAGGAAGCAAATTTTATATCAACCTCGATTTGAAACAGGGATATTTTCAAATACCCCTAGAAGAAACTAGCCGCCCAGTGACAGCATTCAGCGTACCCGGAAAAGGCCATTTTCAGTTCAAAACCACCCCATTTGGACTGCATTCCGCAGGAGCCACTTTCCAACGCCTACTGGATAAGGTAATACCTCCTGATATGGAATTCGCGTTTGCCTACTTGGATGATATCGTAGTAATATCTAAAACGCTCCAAGAGCATTTAGATCACCTACAGGAAGTCTTCCGAAGACTGAAAGAAGCCAGGTTACAACTAAACTTTGAGAAATGCACGTTTTGCCAGTCAGAACTCAGATACTTAGGACATGTGGTTGGAGCAGAAGGAATAAAAACTGACCCGGAGAAAACCAACGCTATAACCGGACTCACAGCACCGAGAAATGTGCGTCAACTCCGCCGGTTCCTAGGAATAACATCATGGTACCGCCGATTTATAGAGAACTATTCGACAATAGCAGGACCGCTAAACATGCTTCTGAAGAAGAAGATAAGATGGAAATGGACCGATAAGCAAGAAAACGCGTTTGAAGAGCTAAAATCAAAACTTACATCGGCCCCAGTATTAGCATGCCCCGATTTTTCAAAAACATTTTACCTGCAAACAGATGCGTCGAACTGCGGACTTGGAGTCGCACTAAACACAGAAGTACGACGGCCAGGATAAAGTAATCGCATATGCTAGTCGAACCCTCACACCAGCCGAGACAAAATATTCCACAACGGAAAAAGAATGTCTATCCATCGTGTACGGGATAAAGCAAATGAGGCCATATATAGAAGGATACAATTTTAAGGTCATATCAGACCACCAGTCCCTCAAATGGCTGAAAAAACCTTAAAAACCCGTCAGGTCGATTAGCCAGGTGGAGTTTAGAACTGCAACAGTACGATTTTGAGGTAATATATAGAAAGGGAGTCCTCAACAAGGTAGCAGATGCTTTGTCACGACAACCACAGGAAAACCAGAGCGAAGAACCAGAGTTGGAATTATTAGCATCAGAACTGGAATCATGCAGTTGGTACGATAATTTATATAGAAATGTACTCCAGAACCCAGACGATTTCCCGGATCTACAAATAACAAACGGGAAGTTATATAAACACATTTGGAGCAGCCGTAATTTAGCCGACCCAGAGTTTAATAACCCATGGAAGTTATGCGTACCAAGATATAAAAGGAAAGATATTTTGGAGGAAAAATCATGACTCGACCACAGCAGGCCATTTAGGAATTGCAAAAACAATTTGCCGAATAGCGCAAAAGTACTACTGGCCTAAGATGTTTAAACAAATCGCAGACTACGTTAGAGCTTGTACGAAGTGCCTCCAATATAAACCGTCTCAAATGCAACCAGCCGGGAAAATGCAACCGTCCACTGTAGAAAAGCCTTGGCATACTGTCTCAGTTGATTTAATGGGACCATTCCCAAGATCTGCAAAAGGAAACATTTTCTTAATAGTCGCGCAAGACCGGTTTACCAAATGGGTCGTCGCCCAGCCAATAAGAGCAGCATCTACGAACTCCATCATCGACACTTTACGATCGAAGGTAATTATGCAGTTCGGTATCCCGACGAAAATCATTTCGGACAACGGCGCGCAGTTCACAAGCAGCAATTTTAAGGCGTTCCTAAAGTCCTATAACATAAATCACATTCTAACACCGCCGTACTCACCTCAATGCAATCCAGTAGAACGAATGAACAAAGTACTGAAAACGATGATAGCCACTTACGTAGAAGATAACCATAAAGACTGGGACAAATTCATACCAGAATTCTGCTACGCCGTAAATTCGTCAAGACACGATTCAACAGGGTTTTCACCAGCGCTCCTTAATTTCGGAAGAGAATTAGACACAACAGAGGCGACAAACGTACAAGATATAAAGGGGTATGCAGAAAACTTAAACAAGTTAGAAGCGTTAAGAGAACTGGCGAAAGTGCACATGGAACACGCTTTCGAGGACCAAAAGAAACATTACGATCTAAGACGAAGAGACTGGCGACCACATCCAGGAGATCGAGTCATGAAAAAGGAACACCATCTATCATCGGCTAGTGCAGCTTTCACCAGCAAACTAGCGCCGAAATACTCAGGGCCATACATAGTAACATCAATAATATCACCAGTAATAGTAAAACTGAAATTGGCCGATAGTAGTAGCCGCAAGCAGACAACGGCACATGTAAAAGATTTAAAACCATGGGAAGGGAGCAATGTTCCTGCAGAAATGGATGGATAGAATGGATGGAAATATATGGCATGACAATACTGTAGACGCCATATACAAAAAAAAAAGAGGTATGTTACTTTTTTTTTTTCCAAAGAGAAGGGGGTGTGACGATGTCCTCGCCGTTCAACAGTTAGAACCGTGGGAGTGTCAAGGTTGGCGCAGCCACCACTACAGCAAGATGGTCAGTGGGGTTCGGAGCGGCTATTTAAGACAAGTAAGTAATGGAATTCATCAGTCTTTGGCTTAGCGCCTTAGGCTCCTCTCTTCGCCAGTGTTCTGAACTGGCGAGCCCACCCGGACGGAGGTAGTTCCGCTTTGAGGTTCACGCTCCATCCATAATCAAGCAGAGTCTATCGATATCGTGTTTTGAACTTTATCGCGGACCTGCATAAGCGATTGTTGACGAGTGTGTTCGGAGCTCCCGCTGAATTGAAGCGGAAGCGAGTATAAGTCTGAGTGCGATTGACTTCTTCTATTTTATTAGTTTTGTTATTAATAATTATTCTTTTCTTTCTTTTGTAGACGTTCGCCGGTGATTCCTTCATCGCGGAACCCAGACGGAGCGCAGAGTTAATTTTTATGTTTATTTTTATACGGCATAGAATTTATTTTATTTTTTTTATATTGTACATACATTAGACCAATAGATATATTTTTATTTTAACCTGTGTTTTACTGAGTCTGTCGTCCTGAAAGAGCTACCCGTTACACTTTATTAATCTATATCACCCTTAAATCGCATGAAAACAAATGTCGCGTAAAATAAATCGTTTTGACAGCTTTCAAAACTTTCAAGATGATATTTAAAAATATATTAGATAGTGTAATTTCTACTATTCTCGGTGAAACACAAAACTTAGACAAAAAAAAATTCTTAATACTGCATACTGCAGTTTTTGGTGATACACCAACTGATGCGGAAATAGAATTATTCTACAAAAAAATTAATCAAGAAATTGCAACCTTTAACGATATTAAGGATTATCTTCAGGCGAAATATATGTTTTTTAAAGAGACCGAATTACAAATTTTAGAAATGTTTAAAGCGTTAGATGTGAAAAGTAAAGGTTACATTACGGCTAGAGATTGCATTGAGGCTTGGAAAACTACAAAAATACCATTTTCACCAGAAAATTTAATGGATTGTTTTGATGCAGTAGTAACAGAAGGAAATATAGATTTTTTTTCTTTTAAAAAATTGTATCTGGAGTATAAATAAAAAGGTTTGTTAGGCTATATGGTTTTTAAAATATACAAACAACTTTGTCTTACAAACTATCGAAATCGATCTATCTTTTTGTAGCGTTTAAGTTTATGGAATTTTCAATTTTAATCATGAACGGACTTTGGATTTATTTTGGATAGAATCACAACTGCCGTTAGGATTCCTTTTATACTATTCTATTATGTAGTCCAGCTGTACCACACAGTAGTTGATTTTCTTTGTGACATATTTTTCACTTTAGATTCGGTAATCACTGAGTGCCATTAACTACACCTATAATTCAGATGCTTCAGAGCAAAATGATATCCACAGATACGTATAATAGTGCTATAAACCTGATGGCAACTAAAGGGTGCCCTCAAGTGGGTGTCTTGCTACCAACATTATGGAATACAGTCGTTGACGACCTGACTCACAGCCAAGAAATCTGGGTCCAGTGTTTCGCAGACGACACTGTAATAGTGACTAGGGGAAATTTCCCAGTACGGTTGCGGACCAGATCCGGTATGTCCTTCATCACATAGAGAACTGGCGTCTGAGACCTTCCAAAACCAAATTAGTAGCGTTCACTAATTTACTGGACTGAGTGAGCTGAAATTATTTGGGAAGGAACTAGATAGAACCAATGAGGTCAATTATGTATTATGTTATATGGTCAAGTATATTAGTATACGTATGTGTATTACCACAAGACTTATTAGAGTTTAATGAAAAAAAAAACAAGGCGGTACAAATGTCTTACGACCAAGTGCCAGAAATTGACGAGTCTCGGCTAAACTAAGAACATTTAGAATCTTCAAATTACAAATTAGTCTATCTTTTTGGTAGTGTATAAAATACTTGACAATAATCCAAAAATATAGGTATTCACTACTTAAACTATGTATTTTTAATTATTCTCTTTAGTACAATACCTGCTGATCCTGTTTGGGCAGCTGGAATATAAATATTTTCAAAAACATGAGGTGACACCTTTTCCCAAATATTTTGTAACAAAGTCTCTTCCCAGTGTTTCGGACTAACTTGAGATAAATTAACAATTTCATCCAGAATTTCGGTTCTAGCTCTTTCAAAAAGTTCGTCCCTGTCTTGCTCACGAAGTCTAAAATAACTCAAATTTAATATATTAATTATGTACAGTAAAATGCACTTTACCTTGGGAAATTATTTTTCCATTCTGTCTCTAAATTAAATCGCCTTGCCTTAAATGAGTCTGCTTGTTGTTCAACCGTCTCCTTCACCATCTTCCAGAAACAATCAGCAACTGCAAGACTTAAATTTCTCGTAGTAACTTGTGTTGACTTTACCACTCCATCTCTAAAAATAGCAAAACAGATACAAATTATTCATTTCAAATAATTCATTTAATAATATTATGTTTAGCTTCAGAACATATTATGTTATGAAAACGCGGTTTTAGTGGTTGCTTTGTCTGTTTTTTCTATTTAGATATATTTGTTTCTTTCATTTGATATCCCGCATGTCAGGATTCGATCAGTTGTTTATTTTGTGTTCGGCCAAAAGCCTTCTTTAAGTCAATAAATCAAAATTTGTCTTCCCTTCCCTTTCATTTAACATATCACACGCTCCAATCGGACAAATAACAAAGGAGATATGATGTAATACCTTCTTAGCAATGCTGCAATGTCTGTTTTTTCTGTCTCAACATATTGGCTCCCCCAATTTTTTCTTTTTTTTTTCTCCACCTGAAAACGCTCAAACAATGAGCAGAATGAACATTAGCATTTTCCTATCGGATTTTACATGGGAAATGAAGCAGAAGCTATATAGCAGCGTTTTTACAGGTATAGGTTTTACTTAATTTTATTTAATTCTATTTACCTTTATTTAAACTTAGTTTTATTTTTATTTTATTTTGGTAAAGTGTTGACGTTTGTTAAAAGTCATTTTATTTTTACAGTAAGTGTATGTTTATTTACCCAATGACATATAATAAATATCATCGAGATATAAATATATATTGTATGCCATAGATCTTAATTTACAATTACAGTAACCTATATTTTTACCAATTTCGCGAAAAAATTAATTACTGTGAAGTAGTAAATCAATAATTTGTAGAATGAATTAGCAATAAATCAACCAGATCGTTTCAAGAACAAAATATGATTGAATGCCAAATGTTACGCCAGAGCATCCGTTGTAGGACACGAACTTTCAAAGGAACATGATGTAGCCATATTACATTTTGCTAGGGAGCATCGCGATTGGAATGCAAACGACTTAAATGTTATGTTTACCGATGAGTCCAGATTTTGACTACGTTCTCCAGATGGTCGTAGAAGAGTCTGGAGAAGAAACGGCAAACGATATGCCGATTGCACTTTTAGCCCTAAAGTAAGTTTTCAAGGAGGTTTAGTTATGGTGTGGTATCTCTTCAAAGCCGCGTACAGTATTGTACGTTGTCCCTAGGGGATCTCTGACCGCTGATAAGTACATAAATGAGATACTGCAAAGTTATGTTGTCCCAAATGCACCATTTATTGGAGAAAACCTCACACTGATGCACAACAACGCGCGCTCGTATGCCGCCCGCATTGTCAAAGAATATTTAAAAGACGTTAATATTACCCATATGGCATGGTCAGCGCATAATCCCGATTTAAATTATAGCATTTTCATTTCACCCCGTATACAATAAAACACCGAGAAATATTTTTAATCTTTTTGCGCCTCTGATATTGAAAATATAAACATTTTTAATCTGTTTATAATAACACAAATTGCTTTTTCTTTTGATGTTGTTTCTGTCTAGATATTTACGCTGGAAATAAAAATGAATCTTTCCACTTAGGTTGGTGAGAAAATGTATGCTGACAACAAAATGATTTTGGGAGGATGAGATCACTACTCGATGGATCATCTGCGAGAGCAGTCAATTTCATTGTTGAAGTCTCGACGAATATTTTTTCATCAGGAATTCGTTAGTGTAGCGGTCAAGATAACTATTTGGGGTCTGAACAAGGAAACATCCTTAATTCGATCATTTTTGGTTAGAAAAAGGTGATTTAATCTCGAAATCCTATTTGGCAGTCAAACCGTTTTGTTGATGTATTCCGTGTCAAGGGATCTGAAAACAGCGTTTCTGAGGGCTAAGTGGTCTACATGGTTTTGAGTGAAAATAGGCAGCCGAGTTTTGAAGAATAATACAGTTATCATCCAGGATAACCTGAGGCCCAGTTTAGGTGTTTGTCAGCCTCCACTTGTGTCTCCAATGGGTCGAATCCAAATCGTTGAAGTTTGTGCGGGACAGTGCTTTTTGCATCCAATTCCAAGTAACAAAATTTTTTAATCATTTAAAAGGAAATAATTAGTCAGTGAAGAAGGTAGTTTTGTTAATTTTTTCTAAACATTTTTCGTTAATATACTAAAATTTGCTATCATGACAAATAAAAAGTTTATAACTAAATATAAGTTTTATGGAATAACTAATTGTCATATTTTAGTTTTCTTTTAAATAAAGTTAACATTGATAATTAAACAATAATTCAGATAAGTTTGATATGTCATGTCGACATATGAGTCAGTATATTGTTTTATGTCATTTGGTACATAACCAAAATTTTTAAGTCTGTTTTGCTGTCAGGAGTTTAAAATTATTTCTTTTAAAAAGATATTCACCCTTAAATCATTTTAGGAAAGAAAAATCTGTCCAAGTACACGGACTGTTCTTTTAACGGCGTATTATTAAACAGTTTAGGAATCTTCTTGTGTAGTGTTGCCCAGGACATCTCTGTAAGTATTTTTTTTTCTTTCTTTTTTGTGGTTATTCCTCACAGTCTTCCTCAAATAAAGGAATCCTTATTTACGACTCAGCTCTCCAACCAAGAAATTAGTAGACGTTCGCAAACATTTCAATTTATTTGCTTACCCTATCTTCAAACCCAGTAATTGTACAGCCCCTCCTTTTAACCCCCTATCAGCAAAATATAAATTGTAACAAAATCCGATCGAGTATATTTGGGACAGTCTTGGCAAAAGTATTCTAAGCCAGGTACCTGCTGCTTTTACCTTAGATCAATTCAAAGTGGCCCTCTTAGAGGAATGGGAAGCAATTCCACAAAATTAAATTTTAAACTTAAAAACAGAAACGCGCGCGATTTTTCTTTTTTGTCCCATAACTTTTTCCACGATTATATAGGTATAGGCATTGTTTTACAATTTCTTTAAAACGTAAAACATTTGACCAATGTGTGTTGCCTGTGATGACCTATGGTGCCGAAACTTTGACATTAACAGCTACAAGTTCTAAAACGCTGCAAATAGCTCAGAGGAAAATGGAAAGATCAATGCTGAGTATATCGCTTCGTGACCAAGTTAGAAATGAAGAGTTAAGACGAAGAACAGGAGTTACCGATGTAATTTCCCGAATTGCCACACCAAAATGGAAATGGGCCGGACACTTCGCTCGAATCAGTGATGAAAGGTGGACGAAGAGATTGCTTGAGTGGAACCCGAGATTAGACAAAAAAAGAAGTAGAGGAAGACCCCCTAACACGATGGACTGACGATCTCAAGAACATGTCAAGAAATTAGATGAAAAGTGTTCAAGACAGAGCACAATGGACAAAATGAGGGAGGCCTACGTCCAGCAGTGGACGCAAAGGGCTGGGTGATGATGATGATTGTTTTACAGAAAAAAAAATATATCTTTTCTCTTCAAAATTACATATGTATTTAGTATTTAGTAAAAGTATTTAGTATTTACAGTACTCAGATACCATTTTTCAACATGTTCTATAACTTTTTCTTAGCAGTTTTAGATGTATGCAGTGGTATATTTAGTTACAAAAATCAATTACCTTTAAAGTGATCTATAGTAGAAGGTTCTAAGACTAATTTAAGCATGATATGGTTCTTATTTTTTTTTTTTTAATTTTAACGATTTTTGCTAATTTCTATGGCTATTTTTTAAATTTCTCATTATAACTTTTTTCTTGTACATTTAAGTATCTGCATTACCAAATAAAAAAGAAAGCTTATTTTCTGAACTTTAAAATATTCTATTGTAAAACATTTTAGGATTAACGGTAACCAAGATATGGTTCGTCAAATTGTAATATGTGCTTGTAACGATTTGTATATACAGTAGAGTCCTGCTAATAGAACTTCGGTAATTCGAAAATCCGCTTAATCCGAAACCGAATTTGGCAATATATTTGAAGAAGATAAATATGCAGTTATTCTCAGAACCACTACTTCTCGTCTCGAAAACATGGTATCCACTGGTGTGGCGGCAGCTACGTAGCGTAGCCTAGAGACCAAAAGCAGCGTCTCTATTGGTTACCCATTGTTCGCTATTGACATCTTCTTTCCCATCACTTTAATCAGAGGCCCGTTTCATCAGCATTATATATTTGCTTAGGTGAGTAGTTTTCTGCATCAATCATACCGGCAAATTAACCTACATATTCAAACGCGGCAGCCTAATCAAAGGACACCATTACTCCAGTAATGGTCAGCTGGCGTATGTCGTAACGCTTTTTAAAATGATCAAGCCAACCTGTACTAGCAGCGAACGTTTCGTCACCATTCATTAGCCTATGTAAGTTTAAACGTGTTTCCTTAAGGGGACAGTCTCATGCGAAACTTTCAAAAAATCAATTTTTTTTACATAAATCGCTTCCATTTACATTCAAAAACTGCCTCCTAAAATGTTAAAAAGAAATTCCTACTAGAATATAAGTTATAGTTATTTTATTAACGTCATCTACTATGAAAACCGGTTTCTCTCCGCGCGGCGAGCGCGAGGTTCCAGCTATTCTTGCTTTTGTATTATTATGTTGTTTATACGTTGGGAATGTATTAGTGATTCATTTTTATATAGTATGTATATCTGTATAACGTTTGGCAGTTACTATACACATTTGGAATTTTAAATCCGGAACATAGGATTTTTTACAAATACTAAGATTCTCTGCGTTACAATTAACCAGTGTAAATGTCTTTATAACGTCGCGATGTTTTATAACTAATTTATTTGTTCCACTGGATTACTTCTCCTCAGCGGTTTGTAGTAGCGTATATGGCATGCCGACAGTGTTGCTCCGTCTACCGATTTTTTCTGAAAGTCCTGTTTTGTGCAGATAATAAATAATGTTTTATTAACATCAATTTTGTTTGTGTTCATTATGTATTATTTGAGTTATAAAATTTATACTTAAATACATTTATTATCCCAAATATTGTTTATAATTTCAAATTAAAAAGAGTGTAATATAATTATTTTACTTTTAAAATTCCTTTTCATTTTTAATTTTAGAAATCAACTTTTTTTCAAGCCGTTTTGGCAGTAA